GATAAGAGGGTTGTTTATTGGTCCAGTGGTGAGGATCTTTGTTTTCTTGACATTGAGATGTAATCCATACCAAAGACTGTGCTCTTTGATCTTCACGAGTAAATGTTTTAAGTGCTCTTCACTTTCAGCAAGCAAGGTTTTACCATCTGCATATCACAGGTTGTTAATGAATCTTCCTCCAATCCTGACACCATGTTTTTCTTCATATAACCTAGCTTCTCAGCTTATTTTCTCAGCATACAAGTTAAATAAGTATGGTGAAAGAATATAACCTTGTCAAACACCTTTCTTAATTTTAAACCATTCAGTGTTCCCATGTTCTGTTCAAACAACTACTTCTTGGTCTAGATACAGATTCCTCATGAGCACAATTACGTGTTCCAGAATACTCATACTTTGCAGTGTTGTCCATAGCTTGTCATGATCCACACAATCGAAAGCCTTTGTGAAGTCAATAAAGCACAGGTAAACATCTTTCTGATATTTTCTGCTTTCAGCGATAATCCATCGGACATCAGCAATGATATCCCTTGTTCCATGGCCTCTTCTGAATCTGACTTGAACCTCTGGAAGTTCTCTGTCAATGTATGCTTACTCACATGGGATATCAAAGAGATTTTCTGATGATTTCCGCATTCCATTGGGTCACCTCTCTTTGGAATGGGCACAAATGCAGATCTCTTCCAATCAGTCTGCCAGATAGTTGTCTTCCAAATTTCTTGGCAGAGATGAGTGAGGACCTTCTGTGCTGCCTCACTTTCTTGAAAGATTTCACTTTTTATTCCATCAATTCCTGGTGCCTTGTTCTATGCCAATTCCTTCAATGCACCTTGGACTTCCTCCTTCAGTATCATTGGCTCTTGATCATATCCTACTTCTTGAAAAGGTTGAACATTAACCATTTCCTTTTGGTACAATGACTCTGTGTATTCCTTCTATCTTCTCTTGATGCTTTCTGCATCATTCAGTAATTTGCCCAGAGAATCTTTCAATAATGAAAGTCAAGTCTTGAAATTTTTCTTTATCGAGCTGACCTTTGAAATCTTCTGTTCATCTCTTTTACCTCCTCATTTCTTCCATTTTCATTAGCATCTCTATGGTGGAGAACAAGTTTCAGTGTCTCTTCTGACATCCGTTTTGA